ACCTGCCCACCCCAGACAGCCATTCACCTACAGCAGCTCTCTGCCTTCTTCACTTGTCTGCCCCAGGCCCTGCCTTCCTGCCCTGCCCAGAGCTCCCCTTGGCACCAGCTGCACCAGCCTTTCCCTTGGGTCCTGAAGCCTGACAGGTCTCGTGCTGCCAACCAGGCCCTGTCCAAGCTGGCCGTCCCCGTCGGCTGGAAGCTCCGGAGCAGCTCTCTGCTGGAACAGTCTCCAGCTGCTATTCCAGAGCATCCAACGACATATCCAGAGTCGCTCTAGATCCAAACTCCTTTGTCTCCTGAGTGCCAGCCCTGAGCCCCGCTGCAGGACACCAGAACCTTTAAATTGTGCCCCCCACAATCCACACTCACCTCCCCTCTGCCTCCCCCTCTCTATGGGCAGCTCCCCGGTTCTGCCCCTGCATGGTGCTCAGCTCCCAACTGCTTGTGCCACAGCCACCGGCACCTGCTGATTTCATACTCCCCCTGGTAGGGGGCAGGGAGGCAGATCTGGCTCTTGAATGGGACTTTTGTTTTCAGGGCAAGAAATGATAAAGGATGATGGGAAAATAGCTCCAGAAAAGGGACTCTCCAAAAGGAGGTTAAATAGGACGGAGCAGGGTGGAGGGAGAGGAGCGGTTAAACCCGCAAACTGCAGAGGGGCCAGATAAACCCTGGGCTGCTACAAAAAGGCTCCAGATGTTCTGGATACAAAATCAAAACGCACCTAGTGCAGGGTGGGGGCTTTGTAACTAACACACGCAATAACAAACAGCGATAACAGACGAGCTGCGACGTCCCTTTTCAGTGACAAACACTGCACCAGGGGCAGGTAACGGTGCTGCTGCTTGGGGGCTGTGACGCTGGCAAACCAGGTGCCAGCTCATGCCAAGCCCCCCATGTCTCCACTGAACCCTGACACAGCCCGAGCTGGAGCCAGGCTGGCTCTCCTGGGTGTTAGTGTTGTTACACGAGGGATTAGAGTTACACAAAGGAGCTTCCTGTTTAGCCTTTATTGAATGCGTGTGAGTTGCTGCCTGTGTTAATCTCACTTATAACAGCTGTAGCCACCGTGTACGGTGCTACTGGAGCGTTCGCATTGGAAGCGTCTGTAGCTGTGCAAATCAGCGGACAGGAGAGAAGCATGAACCAGTGTGAAACGCTAGTCTCTGAAAGCAGCGGTTATGTCCTGCCTGACAACGCAGGCCCAGCAACACCAGACGAAATACTATGGACCAGCAGATGGCAAAAGACTTTGTTGCTTGCTGCAACCCAGGAAGAGGAGACACACAAGTGAATTCCTCCCAGCAGCTGAGTTTGCAACTTGAAGCAGAAGGAGGGAAGGGCTAAAAAGCCCTGGGGTGAGTTCAAGCATTACCAGGGTGGTTTAATGTCAAACAGAAATTACACAACCATCTCCTGCCTCTTCAGAGCGGAGCAGGGGCAGGAGGCTTCAGCCAGAGTCCGAAGAAGCACAAAAGGCACAACCCAGCACTGCACTCGTTGTCACCGAGCTTTGGGCCACTCAAGGACAGGAAAATACAGATTGTGTTAAGAACATCCAACTCCTGACATTCCAACCATGTGTTGATGGTAATAATAAGTTAGTGGACGTGTAAATGTGTAAGGAAGTTCGGCTGTGTAGTGGAAGATACAAACAAACCAACACTCGCACGCATGCGTGTGCACCTGTGTCCATATTGTTAATGAGAGAGACAAGGCAGGTGAGGGACCATCCACCAACAGAAGTTGATCCAATACAAGACAGTACTTCCCCCACCTTGTCTCTCTAATATCCTGGGGCCAACACGGCGACCAGAACCCTGCCAACCTACCGTTAATGTAGAGTTCAGGAAATAAACCACAGCATAAAATTGCCTTTACTCTCAGGACTATGAGTTTTCTGTTGGTGGCTTTTTTTTCTTTTCCCCATCCCTGACTATCAAC